ATTTTTTATTATTATTCAACCATCTCATACATATTCAATGTTTTGACTGCATAATGATTTGTTTTTGTAGTAGGGAGGGAGGAGGGAAAAGATTATTGACATATATGAAAAAGAGCAAGCATGTTTTGATTGTAAAATGATTCTTCAAATTACTTTCTATGATGTTGGATATCTGAAACTAAAGAAAATTTACCAAAATACAGGTTTGCTAAAATAAGAAAGAAATACTAATATTTTTTCTCATAATATAAGAGGCCTTGGTGATAAAGAACAGGATATTGTAGTCCCTGTTACTGGTCAACTGAAAGTTTTGATTTGATGGAACTTCTATTCTGATGCTTGGGATCCAAAGGCAGACCATGTAATGAAAGGGCCAGTTCTTTAAGACAGTGTCCCAGAATGCCAGCTTTCACAGATTTCAGAATCCTGCAAGAGATGTCTAGGATATTGCAAGACTGGGTCTTGTCCTAAGGAGGTAACTTTTTTCATTGTAGATATCAGGTTTCACTGATAGGCCACATACTCATTGGAAGGTTCCATTCAAAAGTGACAAAGTCACAGGTGGCATTAAGTGCTTGTCAATCTGAACCATGATTCACGAGAACAAATTCAAACTGGAAGGAGATAAAATAGTCTCTACAACCCATGGACATGCAGTAAAGACTCTCTCATGCAGCCCAAGGATGTTTGACAAGCAACAGACCACTACTTCTTGACCTGACTCTGTTTTGTCACAAATTCCATGACAGTTTAAGGGACAGATTGCATTCAGTGTAAATTATCCAAAAAATTTAACATACACCGCACCTCTTACAAAAATAACAATCTTTATCAGCAAAGTTTGGGTAGCTAGAGCAGGATTCCACAAGTGAAAAGGAAAGAGAAAGGAGTAACAAATTAAAGGCCTTAGTTCTGCTCCTGAAGAAATCACCAATGTTTTATAGCTGGTTTCAGTAGGAACAAGATAGTTCTCAAAGACCACATCTACACGAGATGCTGACTGCACAATTGTTACTATGTAGTCATTTAGTACTTGTATAAATAAGTACTAAATGACTGCACAGTAACCCAAGTTACTGCACAGTAGCACCGACAATTGTCTTGTTTGTGATGCTACTATGCAGTACCATCATGTGACAATTGTTGCCATGCTGCTGAGCAGTTAGCATCTCATGTAGAAGTGGCCAAATAAAATCTTCCTCAGATAGTAAGCTCAGGATTCATGATAAAGCTGCCTTTAGTGTATTTAATTCACATAACTAGCACTTACATTGCAGACAATACATTCAGACATTGATCTTGCCAGCATTAAAAACTCAATAGTATGAAAACGTAACTTTTTCTTGAACAGTGGCTCTAGTGAAATGGGTCCAAGTATGGCTTAGCGGGTGCATCTAGACAAGCACGCATGTGCAGTTTGTGGTGCTGCAAACCACATGTAATGAATGTGCAACTCTGCGCTGCACCGCAAATTTGCAGCACAGTGTCAAAATTTGATATCCTGATGTCCCAGTCTCAAGGAAACCCCCCACCACTAAAAAAAGTGGCATGGCATATGCAGCAGCAGCATGTACCACCAAAAGCAGAGCCTGGACATCCAGAGCTGTGCTCTGGCTGCCAGCCAAACTCTGTGTGGCCAGACTGGCACTGCTGCTGCCCCAGGAGGCCCCCCGGGAACCCAGGTAAGGCTGCTGGAGCCAGCACAGGTGTTGGCCCCAGCCTTCTTTGTCCCATCTGGGGCAATTTGTGTGTGCTGTAACGTGTGTGCAGGGGCATGCCCTGGGGCACAAAGCAGCAGCACAAATATGTACCACAGCAAACACATGCCCCTGCATGTGGATACACACCCTGCATAACTGATGTAGGTAAAGTTCCATTCCTCCCCCACTTTTTTTAATACAGATGTATTAACTGTGTGCAATTTACTCACTAGAATATAATTTCACTCTCTGGACCTGCTTTCCTTTGTGACCTCCTATATTTACTGCAGAATATAAACATGATTAGTTTTCCCATTGAAAATATTGTTCTGATTAAACAAAGCAACTAGTAATACTTATATTTCCCCCCTTATTTTAGTAGATGAAGTCCTAGAAAGGTATATTCTGCTGTGCTTCATCTTCCAAATCAGTCTGAAGATGAACAGTGAGTAAAAGCAGAGAAAATCTATGAAGCAAAGGAACCCAGACAAAACCTAATATCATCCTGAACAGCAAGCTGCAAGTACAGATGGTGAAGGAGTAACAAAATGCATGCTAGAATGGTTATTAATTTCTCCAAATGGAAATTTTCTACAGATCAACATAGGTGTACATTGTGTGTGTGTGTGTGTGTGTGTATGCACATGTACATGCATATACACGCACACACAATCACAAAATGTATGCTTATGTTCATCTGTAAAAAAATTCCACTTGAAAAAATTAAAATAAGTCATAGAATAGCCCTTCTGGCATGCACTTTGTTACCGCTTCACCACCTCTAATTGTAGTGTTTGCTTGGTGGTGTTTGTTGTTTAGGGTGATATTAGGCTTTGTCTGTGTTCCTTTTGTACATATATTTCATAGTATGAATAATGGTTGTGTATGTGTATATATATACACATATGTATGCACATACACACATATATATACTGTATATATACATATATACAAAATACACACACACACACACACACACACACACACACACACACACACGTCTATGTATAAGAATAAAAATATCCATCAATTATGCTAAGGGCTATTTCAATCAATTCCATTAGAGAGACTGTTCAAGAAAATCTTACCCATGTATAATATTGACTTTTTCATACTGTAATACTAACTGATACTTTCCTAGGATGTGTATTTGTAGTGTGTGGTTTATAAATATCAGAAAATACTTGCAAAGGCTAGAAAAATAGTATTGTTTCTTTTTTAAATTGCACATCATATGTGTGTGATGAATAGCTATCTAGGAAAATTATAGTGCAAGATTTAGGAACTTTAAAAATGGAAAAAGTAGGACTTATATGGGGTAGTAATTTTAATTTTGTTTTGTTGATGGTTTAATATAACATATATGTTACTTGCATGTGTTCTTGAGAAAAGATCTTACAGGCCTCAGATAAAATATAGACTGGAATAAGGAACTTCGGAGAGGCTCAAATATTTACCATGCTTTGCCAATCAATTCTTTCTATAGCACTTAGTTATTTAAAGTGAAATTCACTGGCACATTGTCCATAACATGCAATATGTGGGTAAAATCCTCTGGCTCCCTTATTTTCTACATTGGTGCCATTTATGTGAGATTTGAGAGAGAGAGATATTTCACTCAAGAATCTTGAAGTAAAACATGTCCTGACATGTCAGAATCGTAACGGCAGTCTTGTATGAGAAATGTTCATGTAACCATATGCAGAGGTAATATGTATTACTTCTGTAAAGCTTTTGAAAGATGCCAGGTGGGTCTGGGCTAGGAAAGATTCTAGTCAGAATCACTAAATATAGGCAAAGGCAATACTAAGGAATGCTTTTTTTGTTCATCTAAGTTTCTTGGTTAGAAGAAAATGACATTCTATGATTCTTTATTACTGCCAAATACTACCCAGTAATACATTTTGCCTGATCAGTTTTGCTATTTCTGTAATCTGATTGCCTAACAAAGGTTCTAATTCATGTGCTTTATGGAACAACTAACACCTAGAATTTACTAAATCACTTAAGTCGCTACCAACATTTATCTTTTAAAGCAGGTATTTTCCTATTAAAGAATAAGAAAACAGATAATCTTAAGTAACCTTTTAATTGATATTATTGTGCCACTGTCTTAGTACTGTTTTCCTCAGTTGGCTCTAGATTTCATTAATTTTCTAATTTAAATTCTAAATGTCCATGCTACAGGAAATTACATTATTTCAAAAGTTGTTATATCTCATATCAACATGAAAAACTGAAATATCAAAATATTTGATAGAATAAAAATAAAGTTTTGTTTCAGTCTGTTGAACTAATCAAAACACAGTAGGTAAGTGAATTCCACATAAAACTGGAATTTTTGTAGTAAATTGCATAGTGGAGTGGTAGGCTCTAAACCTGATATCCCTAATCTCTCAGTCAGCCTTACATCCCAATCTCCTTTTCTGGACAACATCTCTTCTGAAGCACCAAGAGCCATGATATTTGACATGGGTTTGTCATCTGGGTGGGTGTGCATTTGGAAGATAAAGTCCTTCAGGAAGTCTGCGCCCATAAGTCAGTGTGCCATTACTGGGAAATACATTTCAATATTGAACTGATTTGAAAAAAAAAAGTATTTCAGATGAGTTCAACAGAAATGAAATATACTAAACCAGGTAATAACAATCCAAAACAATTTTTTAAAAATGAATGATGGAAAACTGAATTTTTGGCAAAATTTAACTTTTTGCCAAAAATGTACAGCAAGTGTATTTTCCACCAGAAAAGTATTGATGGAAAAATCAAAGCTAGCTCTAATAACAGTTCTCAGAATTTCTTTTAATATACCACTTCTTGAAATTGAAGCAATCCAGCATTATTGAAGTAATAGTAATAGTTTTGCTGGATCCAATATTGCGTGGCTGGCTACATGCATACATAGATATATGTACATGAGTACAATGGAATACAAAACAGTGGATGAAAGGGATCTTGGAGTTATTGTTGACTCCAGGATGGACATGAGCTGCCAATGTGAGGAAGCGGTCAGTAAGGCCAACCACACTTTGTCGTGCATCTATAGATGCATTACAAGCAGGTCCAGGGAGGTGATCTTTCCCCTTTTTGCGGTGCTGGTCAGGCTGCAGTTGGAGTACTGCATCTAGTTCTGGGTGCTGCACTTCAAAAGGGATGTGGTCAGCATTAAGAGGGTCCAGAGGAGGGCCACTCACATGGTCAGGGGGCAGCAGGCCAGGCCCTATGAAGGTAGACTAAAGGGCCTGAATCTATTCAGCCTCCACAAGATAAGACCAAGAGGGGAATTGGTGGCTGTCTATAAACTCACTGGGGGGACCAGCAGAAAATAGGTGAGACTCTGTTCCCCTGGGCACCACCTGGGATAACAAGGAATAACCATCACAAATTGATTGAGATCAGGTTCAGGCTTGACATCAGGAGGCATTACTTTAAGGTCAGGGCTGCCAGGCTCTGGAATGGTCTCCCAAGGGAGGTGGTGCTCTCCCCTACCTTGGAGTTCTTCAGGAGGAGGTTGGAGATATCTGGCTGGGATATTATGATCCCAGCACTCGTTCCTGCCCAGGGCCAGTGGGTCAGGCTTGATGATTTTTCAGGTCCCTTCTGACCCTAGAAACTATGAAACTATGGAGCATTTTCAAGTATGTAGTAATCAGGTGCTTGTTATACCTGTAATGCTCATGATGGGGTTAACTATGTTGCTTAGAGTATCATTTCCTTTACAAAAGTATATTGATGTATAACACTTAGCAATACAGACATCAATTATGAAACAAGATCAAGCAGTCAAACAAAAACAAAAAAACCCCAGCAGCCTAGTGAAACTTCTAAATCCTTTAAAAAGCTAATGTGCTTTGGTTTTTAAAAGGTGTTTGATGTCCTTGAATTTACCTTTTGGCCACCACCTTGTTTCTAATCCCCTAATACCTTTAATAGAGTCCTTGATAGTTTCAAGTTATTAAACATTTTTGGAGGATTATAATTGCTATTACTAATTATTATGATGACTATATAATAAATATTCATCATATAATTGGGATCAAAATGTTTAATCCAAGAAATGTTTAGAGCAGTGTAAAACACCCTGGATTTAATTAAGGTAGTTAGAAGGTTAGGAATGAAATTTTAAAAGAAAGCCTGGGGCACAGGGGTGGGGGAAGGGGCCATTTATGTACTTTTATATTTAGTTTAATTGTTAAACACGTTTAGGTTTGATTTCAGGGGAAAGAAGAGATCCATAGCAACAAGAAAAAGAAGTCAGCTAAAATTCAAGACTAGGATTAAGGCCAGTCAGAATTTACATTTGCTTTACCACACTTCATTTACACAAGTCATTTAATCTCTTAGATCCATGTCCCTGTGTTGAGTTCACTGCATGACTGAAGCCTTCAATTGCACCCTTGTGAGAGAAAATATAAGGCTCTTGGGTATATTTCTGATAATATTTTCATCAGATTTCTAATATTTCACTCATTGTTCTTCCCACTTTTTGTTATACTTATGTTTTGTTCCTATTGAGCTTGTGTCTTATTGATCTGAATAAGAGACTATAACAACTTTACTTAGGTTCCCAGGAAATAGCTAGATCCAATTAAATGTGGGTTATAACACTGGCTCAATATGTTACTCTATTACTGCAAACAGACATCACATTTGTCCTGGGACCAGCTATGCTGTGATGGCCCAGAATGAAGAAGTTGGGGAACTGGCATATCCAGCATCACGTTTTCAATCAAACTGAAAGACTACATGACTCTCCATGCTGGTTACCATCCTGTGTCCTTATGAACTTCTGCCACAGTATCTTGCACCTGAATTGGCACTGGGACCAGTCGTGGTTATGTCCATGGGCCATCATTTCCTTTGCCATCCATTCCAGAGTGCCTACTATTCCTGATTTCACTTGATGTGTTCCACTACCTCCTCCCCAGTCTAGTTGCTACCACACTTTTTCATGGTGCTGCATTCAGATTGAGGGGCTATGGTAGATGGAGGTTGAATGGGTATGTGCGGTTATGGAAATCTGAACTTAGACTGGGTCTGATGACCTCCCCAAAGGGTTAAATGGATGAGGTCCCTGATGGTTCATGGGATTGGCAGTCAGTTCAGTGGATGCAGGCACTGATGCTGATTTTGGTTGTATGGTAAGCAAGTTGACATGCTGGGCAATTAATAGGTGGAGGCATCTATCTGGGGCTTGTCACCTTTGGGCAATAGTGTTCTGTGATCAAAGCTGGAGCGGCTGCAGACAGTTAAAATATCTCTTCAGCTTCCGAGTTTGCCTCAGTTTCAGGACATTAGTAAAAAGAATACTTGAAGTACAAAACCATTAACATATATAGGTAGGGACATATTTATTGTATTATTTAAAAATAAAAAGGATTTTAGCTCAGGCAAAATAATTTCATTTTTTTAATCTGAGGGAGGTCATTAACAATGTTAGTCTGAAGTCAGGGAGAAGGTAAGGTAGAGATGTACCTTACAAGCTAACTAAATCAGAGATGCATACACTTGTGAACCTGAGCTCACTTCATCAGATTTTTTTTAACCTGTTACAGAAGAACAGAACAGTTCTTAATATATACATATATTCAAAAAAGAATTGTCATTAAAGTTACAAACTCAATCAGATTGTAGGTAACACAAAGTAGTGGTCTCACATCAAAGTATGGGAGAACTACCTTAGCTCTACTCAAATGTTCTGTTCTAATTATCTGTCTCTACCACTTCTGATGCCCTAAAAAAGTGGTGGGCAGAATATAGCCCACAGGTTGAATCCAGCTTGCTAGGCAATTTCATCTGGCCTGTGGGTGCCCACCAACTAATTGTACCCCACCCAGCCCACGTGTCTTGCTCCTACCCTTGTCCATGGAAGGTCCCAGTCCAGTCAGCACACAGCTTCTGACCAGGGCTGCCAGGGGATCTGCTCAGCTTTCCCAGTGTCCAGTGGCTCCTCCTTGTCTCCCTGCTGCAGTGATCACTGTGGGCAGTAGGTAAGGAAGTGGCAGGGATGGGAGGAGCTGCAGCTGGGTGAGAGCATGGAGCATGGGTCTGGCAGGAGAACAGAGCACATGCCCAGAGGCATGGCAGGAGTGCAGAGCTCAGGTAGGCAGGGTGTAGGTGTGATGGAGGGTGGGAGTGTGGGGATCCCTCACACCCTCCTCTCTATGGCACACATCCCCAGCTGCCGGTGGCAGCAGCAGGTTGTGGGCACTTGGGGTGCTTGTGGCCCATGCAGGAGCTGCTGCCTGACAGTGCATGGCTCCAGCCAGAGCTGCACATGGCTGCAAAGAGTGCAGCTAGCCCGGCCTGCCTCTGTTGTGCAGGGCTTCCTGCTGTGCATGTACAGCTCCCAGCACCTGCGCACCCCGGGGGAAGTCCTATGTGATGGAGCTGGCTGCCTTCCCAGCTCCCTGCTGCTACAGAAGCAGGAGGCAGGCTCCCTACCACTTCTGGTGGAGTCCAGCAGCTGCACATGACAGTAGGCAGTGGGGAAGGCTGCCGGATCCATTGTATAGGGCTTCTCCCAGTAGCACACAAATGCTGGAAGCTGCATATGGATTGTTAGGAGCCCCATGTGATAGTGATGGGCTAGCTTGGCTGTGCCCCTTGTGACCATGTGCAGCCCCGGCTACACACCATTGGATGGCAGTGCCTGCATGGGCCAAAAGTGCCCTGAGTGCCCACTATCTGCTGCTGCTTCTGGCAGAAGGGGCTGTGTACTATGGTGGGGAGTATGGGGGGGTCTCTCACACCTCACACTCTTCTTCACACCCCACAAACACCACACACCCACACCATACCCCCACAACCCTCCCACGTGTACACCCTGCCACAACATACCCTACACCCCCCCACACAAAGCCACACCACTTCACAACCCCCCGACTCCTCACCATACACACACACCCACCCTAACCACACCCCATGCACTCCCTCATACACAGTATACAAGAGTAAGACTCTATTTTTAGTTATTATGCAGTCACCTCTATATATAGAACACAAACACAAATCATGAAAATATTTTTTGTAATAAAATTAAAATATGTTATAGTAGGTGTTTGACATTTAGTATATGATTTGGTTTTTATTTTGGTTCCAAATTGACAACCCTCTCGTCCCAAAAGGAGTACCTTAGGGGGCAAGGGGAGGGATGTCCAGTGGCAAAAGTCAGGGGTGTAACTTTTGGTCCCAAGATGGTAACTGGGGACAGGGCAACTGTCAAGGGGCGGGACTACCCTTGCGGCCCTTGATAGTTCATCAAAACTTATTAAGAAGCCCTCCAGCTGAAATAATTTCCCACCCCTGCCTTAAAACCTTTTTTTTTTTTGATCTTCCAAGTTTTGAGACACTAAAAGTTCTTACATATTTTCCATCATTGTAATACTTGAGCTATTACCAAATGTTAATTAATTTAACCCCATATTACTTTGTGAATAGGAATGTAGTATTAGTTGTATCTTACAGGGAGAGAAAGCTGAGGTAACATAAACTGTCCTATCAAATCTACTTATTTAAATGATGTTTTAAAGTTTGCACTAGAAGCCTGTGGCAGAAGCAGGCCAAAAATTGATCTCAGACCAATCATTACCTCCATCTTTTAAACCTACATCCATATATCTCAAGTGTGAAATCAGAAAAACAACATGCCATATGTTGGCAATGCTGTTTTTAAGTTAAACAACATGAGTATTTTTATGTTTGTGAGCCCTTCATGGATCAGTGATATAGCATAAGATTGGATAATACCAGGCCACTGGCAGATGTGAAAAAAACAAACAGAAAACACAGAACTTTATTGGAAGATGAAGTATATCAGTTTCACCCAGCTCACTAATTCAATCAGGTGTTAGATAAAAGCACCAAAAAGGCCTGCTGAACCACGTGATATATACTGGGGCTGTGCAAAGCTTCAGTCACTGGTTTGATCTGGTGCAGATTCAGCCCAATTCAGTGGCTGACTCTCTGAATCCAAATTGAAACAGGAGACCCTTTGATGTCTCCGAATTGAATCAAAAACCTTCAAATTGATTTGGAGAGATTCGGAAAGATTCAGACATAGGCACAGCTTTAAATGTTTTTTCTACATACCTCAAGGTAGCAGGTGGCTCATCAATGCTGCGATGCTAGGGCAGATGGAACATCCCACAGGAGCATGGGGGACCCTCAGTGCACTCAGCAGGAGACCCAGCAATGGACCAGAAGCATTTCTGGTCCACTTCTCGGTTCGCTGGGGTGTGCGCTAGGGGGCCTCCCTGAAACCCCTGGCTCAGCGACAGGTGCCAATTGCCAAGCCGGGGGGGCACCAGAGGGCCCCCAGTGCACTCCCTGGTGAATCCGGAAGTGGACCAGAAGTACTTCTGGTGCACTTCTGGGTTTGCTGCTAAGCATTCAGGGGGCCACTCTGTGCTCCTGTGGGATGCTTCATCCATCCCAGCATCTCAGTGTTCATGAGCCGTGCCTGGTACCTCGAGGTATGTAGAAAAAACATTTAAAGCTGTGTCTATGGCTGAATCTCTGATTCTTCGAATCAGCATTGAATCTTCAGATTTAGATTCGGCTGAATCAAATCGGGGACAGTGATCCAAATCAACTAATTGAATTACTGTCCTTGATTCATGCCAAATCCAAATCTGAATCGAATAGCGCCCGTTTTGCATACCCTTAATGCATACACTGACATGATGGCTTTTTTGGGCATGCACTGCATTTAGCATGGGGGCATGCCAAACTTAAAGTAAAACATTGCTTTGTTTTTTTCCAAATCTGTAAGCAGCTCCTGTGTTTAATCTCTGAAAATTCATTATTCAGAAATTTGGGTTGACATGACATACTAGCAGACGATAGCAGGCACTTAGTACCTATACAATACCCTACATGATTTTAGTGAAGTTTAGTTAAATCTTGGCAATACAAATACAATAGCTGACAGGATGACAGGATTTAAAGCTTATACATATATTTTTTAAAAATATTGAAACAGTGTGTTCAGCAATATTAGTTTGATGTGTGACTTCCATGAAAACTTCATGGTAGGCTTATGGATGCTAATTCTTCTTTCCTCCCATGCTGACATCATACTGAAGCTATTATATTAAATCTGCATTTTGAAGTAGGGAAAAGAGGCATTACTAAGTCTTATTTTCAGCTATTGAAAAATCATTTGAACCCTGATTGGAGTAAATCCATCATGTAAATTTAGACAGCAAAAGCTCTGAGACCCCAAACCAAGAGACATTAAATAAATGAGAGCCTCAGAGGATGTGAAGTATGATATTCAGCTAATAATTTCTGGCTTATAATAGTCTTGCAAATAAAGTATATGCAGATTTTTATAGATTTTTTTGTAACCATGCAATAAAAGCAAAAGTTTGATCTGCTCTTTGGATCTGATTTTTATTAAAGGATTACTCTTTTGCTTTCTTTCAAAGATTAGTAAATTTCCTTTTAAAATATCTCTTGATCACCAGTCCCTTCTCAATCTAATAAAAGGTCTCCACCATAGAATCTGCAAAAAGGTTTATAGTCATATGCTACATTGAACAGCCATGGTAAATGGAACACAGTGCATGGCATCTATGAGAGGGTGAAACAAACCTCATGACAATTCTGATTTTAAACTTACATAAAAGTTACATCAATCTATATCCTTAGCACATCAGGATATGAACCGGTGAAAGGGATGTGGGGAGAAAGAATGAAGACACAGTAAGCTTCAGCTTGCTTTAATTATTGCTTTATTCCCAGCTTTAGCTTTTGACCAATTATACTCTTAAATGGACAATTATATAGTGTTTGTATGTAAAAACACACAGACTTAAATGTCAAAATGAGATACTACAAATGGTTCTAGAATTAAAGTATTCTCTTTAACATGATTTCATCGGAAAAAAAATACCAGCTTGCAAATGGGAAGGAGGAGAAGAAGGAAGTCAACCAACTTGAGTTGGTTGTTCTACCACGTATTCTTTTAGGCCATCAGATTGTCAGGGTAGTATTTTAACTATCTTCCACTTCTTGTACCCATTATATTAACTCATTCTTTAAGACTGAAAAAAGGTTATCTTGAAGTGCCAGTTAGGAAAGCATCCACTAAGAGCTAATGGCTCTTTGCTACTCCATAAAATTATTCACTCTAGATTTTTGAGGAATTTAATTCACTGGTAGCACCATGCCGTCTTCTCAGTTGACATGGGGTATAATGGGGACTGATGATTAAAAACTAAGCAACCAAAATGAAGTAATAGCAGTCCAACATGAAAGATAAAATAGATAGAAGCCAGCAATACCGGAAAAATATTTCCCCTTTTTTAGGACACGGAGAGAAAACAAAAGCCCAAAGCAGTTTGACCCATATGGTAGCATTGGAGCAATGTTGTAGGTGTAAGGATCCAAGAATTATGCAAGAGGCATATTCCTGAGGGTGATGTGTTTCATTGGACCAACTGCATGGTTGGGATAAAGTTAGACAAGCTTCTGAATGCAACACATTCTTCCTAAGGTCTAAAGGAGGAAGCAGGCACAGCTGGTAGTATTTAGTGTACATGGGGCCAAATTCTTTGGCAGCATATTTACCCTAACTTCAGCTGAGTTAAAACCATCAAAGGTGATTAGCTCAGGATGTTTATGAGAATATATGAAATAGATCACCATAGAACACATACTGGGCATTTATGGAATTATTAAATTAGATATACGTCCATCTCAGAAAAACTGATCCAAACAACAACTCATAACCTTTGGGATAAAGGATCTGTAATCCAAACAGATATTTTGCTTATCAATTTAGGACGTTATGGGCTGAAACGAAACCTGGATTTGAATATTTCCCCATGCACCTCGATTTTGTGGTATTTGAAATCTGGATACAGATTTGAATGTTGTGGTTTGGGATGTCTCTAATGGAAATATATTAATTAGTATGTAGCTGTAAATTTTTAAAGGAGAAGCAGATCATTTTCAAGTGATAATTTACATTATCCTGGATAACTTTTTGACTTCTCCCACTAGACCTTTTCCTAGAAGATTTTTCTGCGCTATGGCCCCTTTTCACTCCCTCCAGTATACTTGAGGGGATCTGAGGCAGAATTGTTCTAGGTAAGACAATAAACAGAAGCAAGCAAACAAATCTGGCTAGACAGAAGGGGAAGGTAGAAGAGGAGGGGAAAAATAACGTAAATTAAACAATTTAGATTATTTGAGGGCTCCCCTCCTCTTTTCCTCTAAATGCAAGACATTTTGTATCCCCCTTCTCTGGTTAGAATTTGTTTCAGCCAACTATATCTCTGAGCATTTGACAGCTCTTTTTGTCCAAAATAAGATTTCACTCATTAAAGGGAATGTCTAATGAACTTTGTCCATCTTATAGAAGAAAAGGTTCCTGGGCTTTATGACACTATGTATTCCTGAAGGGTGCTGTGTACCATAGGAATACATGCCCTTGCCTTATGGCTTTTTATTTTGTGAATGTGATTGATCATTTGACCTCACAAATGTCACCAAAATATAAAAATGAAAAGAATTCAAAAGAGTAGCTATTGTTTTCCAAAGTGTCTACTCATAAAAAAATATAATTAAGATTCACCTTTTTCTTTCAAAATATTCCTTCACTGTAACATGTTTACAGATAGGCTGAGTGAGGACAATAGATTCCAACATGGTGGTCCAGTGACATGCTCAAGGAAATGGTAGTACAAAAGTTGTGTTATAGCCACGATGGTCTAGAAATAGTGTGAGAGGCAAGGATTTCTCAGGGTGATATCTTTTATTGGACCTATTGTATAGTTGGAATAGAATTAGACCAGCTTTAGAATGCAAAAACATGGTTATTTAGGTCTTGCATTTCAAAGCTTGTCTAACTCTACCCCAACTATACAGTTGGTCCAATAAAAGATATCGATCTAAGAAATCCTTGCCTCATGCTCAAGGAAATACACTTAGTGATTCTTCTAGCTTTTATATGTTAGATCTAAATGGGTGCATATACATGTTCATTAATGTGCTTTTGCTACTGTGCATTACATTTAGTACATGTAATGTGAGATACTAACTAAATGCATGTTGGCTGCCCTAATGTGCAGTAGCAAAAGTGCATGCTTTTTTAGCAGCACTTAATGTGCAGTAGCTTAATTTTATTGCGCATTAGTATATTAGCATGGTTTTTGCCATGACTCTCTAACGCACAGTAAAATAGGCTACTGCTCACTAAAGCACATGTGTAGATGTGCCCAATGAGTTAGTCTACACATGTGCCAGACTGCACAGTTGTTGCTATACAGTCATTTAGTATTTGCTTAAGCAAGTACTAAATGGCTACACAGTAACTGGCATTACTGCTCGTGTCCTGATGCTGCACATGTCTTTTTCCCATATTACTGTGGAATAGCATTGGTGGCATGGTTTGTGCCTGCTGACACTACATTGCTGTAGCAATGACCTTGCTCAGTGACATAGCATCTCATGTAGATGCACCCAATAAGTATTATACTACTTTACCTCTTATAAATTATGATTCAGGCTGACTACAGTAAGGCTTTGTCAGTTTGAGCCAGTTAAAGATCTGGCCCTACATATAAATCTTAAAATAGTGTTAATTTATTTCTCAGTAATTTAGTATATTGTTCTCTTTTAAACATATGCCAAATTCTCATTAACCCACTCACTGCAAAGCAAAAAAAAAAAGAACTTCTATTAGCTTGCAAATATTATATTTTGAATGAAGACTTTGCTTACTTAATAACTTATTTATTTCATACCTAGTATTTCTGTTTAAGAATGTTCAGGAGAATCTCCCCAAATATTTATCCTATAGACAAGATAGAGACAGGGGAGGTATCTGCAGGACTAAAGGCAGAAGCAATATTTCACTATTTCATATAAACCTAAATAGCAATGCAGCACTAAAAAAAATGATTTTGTCTTACAATGGATTCTAAAGAAGTACTGCTGATTTAGATAGCTGCTTCTGGAATTTACATCACTGAAGTTTACGAGGGAGACTGCTCACGTTTGTGGCAGAGAAGCCATAAGTATGTTGGAATTCCTTCATTCTTTCACACATTTTTCTAGAGAGTAGTTTATGCTTCATGATGATCAGATCTCAACTGACACATGGAGGAACATCAGAAGAGTTTGCTACTTTTTTCCTACTTCACTATTCAAGCTGTTTTTACTCCGTTTTTCTGCGTACGAGCAAATAATTGTTATCTCTAGTTCCCTCTTCAATAGAGGGCTCCTTGCTTAGTTAGAAAAGTTACAGTCTTTTATATTCTCCTTTATTCTGGACTCCAATTTTCCATCCACGTGACCAAAGTATTTCTCCTTTAATGAACAGGACAGTCTCCTCCTTGATGGAATATTACCCTATTCTCAGTAATGTCCTCTCAGGCTGAAATACTTTTCACTGCTACACTCAATCTTGAATGAACTGGAAATAGAAGACCTACAAGTTTTTTCAAGTTCCTTTTTAAATGTAATTGCGTAGTGTGCTGCGAATTTAGCCAAAGACTTGCCAAAATTATGGTTAGATGATAAGTTTCACTACTGTAACTATTACAGAATCAAAACTAATGTAGAACTATTGTGTTTTGGAAAGCTTTGCAAATTCTTCCTCCAAAGAATAGAAATTCAATTGACAAAGGATAATGTTGAAAATTGTCCCTCCCACACAAAAGCACATAAACATCCCATATTGTTTATATTCAATATATTTATATATTCAACTTATATATATATATATATATATATATATATATATATTCATATCTCCTGAGAATGGCAAAATCTGCAAATAAGGCACTGTGTTCACGAATGCCATCTGCGTTCAAGAACTCAGTGCCCCCAGTGGCTGGGGAGCGCAGCAGCAGTGGTGGCAGTCCAGCGGGAGCAAGTGCAGACGGAGCTCCCGAGGAGCTCCTTTAAGTGTATTTAAGAAGCAGGTTTGGCATTCGCGAATATTTGAAACCGCGAATACTGAACCTGCAAATAGTGAGGGTTTCCTGTATATATAAAACCAACCCATAAACAATAATGCCAGGCAACTTCCCAAATAGCTGAATGGCCCAATTTTTTAAGGCTTCACATTGCATGAAAGACAGATGCCAAAAAAGTATATCTTCTCCTTTCTGCACTGTTAGTAAAGATCATTATTATAATGACTGACATGCAAGTCTAGGAAGCCATGGATCCAGTGGAATACATGCTGTTTGGTTAAAATATTAGACTTCCAAAGATTCTATTATACTGAAGTCTGCAGTCTTCTGATGCTAAAGGCCTTTTTTTTTTTTTACTGTTTTGTCAGTTTTAGAGACCTAGGTAGCTGTACTTTGAGATACTGCTTTTTGTTACTCATTCTCACTCTATTCTGTCTGCTACAGTAAAATGACATTTATGGAAATCCTGAAGGTTGTCACCTTAAAAAACAGGGACTATGTCTTCAGAAAATAATTCAGTTTTCATGCCCATTTAAGCTTTGGGCTGCCGGCAGAGACTAAGGTGATTGTTTTCATGTGGACACATCTTCACCAGAAGATGGACTGAGGCCACTCATTAATTGCACCCAAACTGATGAAAAATCAATAAGTTCTCTAAGTAGTGGTGACGATAATGGGTAGTCATGTGATTTGTCTAACTCAAGTCATCTGACTGAGACAGATAAGACATGGTATCCAATTTCTTACTAGTACCTATTTTACTTTTATTACTACAGTCCTTCTCCCACTTTCAATTTCAGGGTCTATATCTATGGCATTTGTTTTGGTTTCATTCAGCAAGCAAATATTCTCCATTCATGCACACGTTCCCTGATATCTCCTTGAAATATACATATTTTTGTGGGCCAAAATCTTCAAAAACAGAAATGTATCTGAGTGACTTGGGAGCTCAAATTCTATAGGAAGTCAATGCAGATAGTGGTAATATATTACCAAGGTATTTTTGTAAATCCCGCTCTAATTTCTATTAGTGGCTTCACTGTCAGAAATGCTGGAGACCTGCAACTACCACTGAATCCCCTGGCAGATCATATTATGGTGCTTAGCAAACTTGGAAAGCAGGCCTTTTTATTTAACTGTTTAAATACAGATTTAGATGCCTAACTTATATTACTTGAGTGTGAATTTTTCAGCCCTTTATTTCAAGGTGAAGTTGAGGGTGGTAACTGAGATTTTTTAGCGTTATCTCTATTTTCTTTTCTGATAGATGATAAAGGAAAGTCAGGACAGAAAAAATTGTTGTATGTTTCACATATTGCTGCATCTGTCCTATATTCTATAATTTAATTTTGAAGGCAGTCATGCTAATTATTAGTCAGCGGCTTTCTTTACTACACAATCCAGACACCTCTGAATGGAAATAGGGAAAAGAAAGTGAGACAGAAGTATAAAGGACTCATCTTTCAAGATTTATTTTCATTATCTCCTCTCTTTATATGTTTCTGTATGTTTTTTCATTCAGCAAGATGAGCATTATTCCTCCTTCTAAAAGGATGCAAGAAAAAAAAGAAAAAAGTATTGGTACAGAAAAGGCTGTTGTTTTCATGTAAAATAACTGCATGTTTTACCTTGTTCTCCAGGGCTCCAAATTGCCAATCTTGTGATATGCTGTCACAACTTATGCGTGACTGACTGGTTACAGAGCCTGCTGATCTATATGGAGAGGTGAGAATTTGTCACTGTGCATAAGCAGAAAGATCAGTCAGATACAGTGATAGATCTGTTCTTTGCCTGGATTCGTCTGCTGCTATATTAGGGTGTCTCAGCAGCTGCCAAATCGAATTCTGAGTCTAGTTTTGTGGTTGAGAAAACAGAAAAAGAAGTAGTGATGTCCTGACATAACCACTTTGGGATACAATAACTGTGGAGAAAAAATATTATTATAATCACTGTGTCACTGTGTTTCTGACTTCCAGCTGAGCCATGAGGTCCTAGAGTGATTTCATAGTCCTTTTCCATTTACTGCAGTGCATCCATAATATTGTGCATAGTTCTGCAAAGTGCAACACTAGGTCCTAAAGGGAACTCCTTCTCTTCAGTACTGCCCACATCAAGGATATTCAATATAGCTAAGATACTAACAAACAAACAAACAAACTATCAAGTGATTCCTGTGGCAAAAAAACCCTGTCAAACGATTGATGAAAAACATGAATATCAATACATAGAAACATATTTTGTTCTGTTATTAAGGAAGAGCTCCTATTTAAAAGCTGCATGCACTCTTCAAACTGGTATGAAACATGGAAAATGGTGTACTGTCTTTTTGAATGATTGTTTATTCTGCAGAGACTAAGGTGCCTCAAATATGCTAGGTGCTGTATAGAAATACAGGAAAATAACAGTTTCTGGCTGAAGATTGTACTGTCTAAACTAGGAAAAATCAGGCAGAAGGCAGGGCATGTAGGAGGGACTGGATGCACTCTAGTTGAAGCAAAAGACCAACAAACAGCTTGTTAGTACCATTTTTATGAACACTATATGTAGACAATACCTTTCTGGTCTGTCTGTTGATTTGGTACGGTGGTCTACTTAGAGCAAACCATTATTAACTGTATATAACTACCACTGATGAAGAACTCATTTATTTCTAGTGGGAAGAAGACTAACTCACAGACTTCCACATTTTTTAGTTCTCTTCCAAGGGATATCACTGAAAGGCATGTTGTCTTTTCATTATTGACATACGTAATAACTATATTACTTTGTACTTTTACAGATGACATTTGGGGGAAAGTGGTTCATTAGTAAGGAGCACAGTAACAAGATTCCTGAATTCTAGCACCAGCTTTATCACAGCTTCACTGAGTGACCTTTGTTGGTAGACAGTGTTTTGAAGACCACTACTGAAACACCATATTTTAATTATTCTCCAAAAGCCTCTAAAGTTTGTTGAACTAACATAGTTTATACAATAACAAATAGAGTTAATGTGAAAAATATCAAAACCAAACCATTCAACTAAATAATAACTAAATAATATCCAACTATAATAATACATGATAGAATACATGAATGTCTTATATGTTTTATTTACAATAATAAGAACATTAAACAAGTGAAACAGTATAGTAATAGGTGGGCATGCCTACACATGCATTAATGCTCTGTAATTATGGCACATTAAGTTTAGTACCTGCAGTGCCGTAGCAACAAAGTTTGGCGCCTAGGACAAAGCCTGCAGTGGCAGCCTGCCCTCACCCTGCACACAGATCTGGGGGTGGCAGGAGCCACCCTTCCGCTGTCCCTGCTCCCTCACAAACAAGTTGCTTATGGCTCTGTCCCATCTACCGTCCTGGCTGGGCAGCGCCTGTTGGTGCCCCTTTACTTCGGTGCCCAGGGCAGTTGCCCTGCTTGCCCTGCCTTGCTATGGCACTGAGTAGCTGTTATAACAGGTACTAACTTAATGCACCGTAATCAGCGCTACAGTGCAATAATGCTAACACATGTCTTTTAGGTGACACTAATGTGCAGTAGACTAATTCTACTGTGCATTAGTGTATTAGCATGGCTTTTGCCGTGATGTGCTAATGCACAGTAGAATTAGTCTACTGCGCTTTCAGTGTCTTGTGTAGATGCACCCAGTATCATTTCCTATGTAACTGTTTTTCATGATTATTTATATAATAATACCCATTGTATTAAAGTGTAATAAGCATTTTACAGATGAACTCTTGCTTATAATAGGTGTGTTCTTTCTGAAAGTTGAAGTGACTGAAATCATCAAGGACAAGCAATTTTACTACCTGAAGGCATAATTCCTCCGTGGACTACATTATGATGAGAAATCAAGGTGGCAGTAAATCAGTGCATCAAATAAGATAGGTACAGTAACCCAGTCAGTAGTGCTGCATTCTTTTTATTATTTATTATTTGTCTAGAGGTTAATAGTATGCTAGGCACTTAAAGCAGCTCCTCCTGAAACCTGTTTTTCTAAGTTCTGCAGCTATAGTTCAATGTTACAGCTAACATAGCCTCCAGACTCAAACGAATCAGGATAGTTCAGGTATGGATTTCTTTGGAAAACATTCTAGTGTTTTCCATAAGCTCTGTGCACATATGTTAATTAAGTTCAAGAATGGAAAACTCCAAGAAAATAATATATTTAACATAAAACAAAATTATAGACTGTTTGTTTCTGTGTAGTTTAGAATATATCACTAATGAATATGCCATAAAAGGAAGCAGAGGAATGTGAAAGCCAGAATAGAATGTACTTTAATAGGACTGTGTACAAATCAAAGACATTTGCAACCTACTTCAAACATACTGTTATGGTCTTTAGTAGTAGATTTTCTTTGTTTTTATTGGATAATTTATTACTAAATAATGCTGCTACCCACAGAACATAATTACATTTCACTTATTTACCGTATGTGCAAATGGTAACAGTGGGCACTCCTGAAATATTACCTACTTTCTTTTTCTTAAAGAGCCTCTAATAAGTTATTCCTATAGATCTTGGAAAGCTGCTTAAGGACAGGTAGCTTTGACAGAAAATTCAGCTCAGAGATGGGCTTCAATGCACCATATGAGTTTATTTTCAGCTAGAGGGATAATGCACCTGCCTGGTTAAAAAAGATCACAGATATTTCTTCATGCAGTGAAAGCTTTACAAAGTGACCAAAATCTCTGAACCTCTGAACTTAAACATCAACTGTGTCTGTACTCTGGAGGTGGAATATTTTCAATAGAAGCATCCTACTCAAAGGGGTCTAGACAGGCCTATAATTCTCAGATTGGTACCCAAGTGCTCATTGTATGTCATTGTGGGTGAGGTAGAGAAGCTTTACACTGTTTAATTTATTGTTCTTTTAAAGGTTTTTACTTTTAACACCCCATTGTTTTATTTGTCACCATTCGCCTTTGCTTTTCCTCTACAGCTGCAGGCATTCCTCAAATAGAAGAATTTTCAAAGGTATATAGCAAACATATTTTCAGATAAGTCACATAAAGCCTACCCTGTATTAGAAGAGATTCTGCATTTAAATTCCTAGCAGGGTTAGTACTTAGTGGGCACATCTACACAAGATGCTATGTCACTGTAGCAATGAGCTACTGCACTGTAGGTTGTTGCTATGGTGATGTAGCATCATCGGGCACAAACTGTGATGGTAACACTACTGCGCAGTAGCAGCTAAAAATAACCATATGGTGATGGGACTGTGTGGTAATGCTGGTTACTACGCAATGTTTAGTACTTGCTTAATGCAATTGCGCAGTCAGGCACATGTGTTGATTAAGATGTTAATAAATTGGAACATAGAGCTAAGTTCTTAAGTCCATCTTTAGGTGCCTAGGTAAATTGACTGATTTCAAAAATTGCTAAGCACATGCAAGTTCTCACTGCAAATTTCAGACTGAGTTTTTAATAAGGAGTTTAGACCTGATACAGGGTTTTTCTTTTTTCTAGTTTCTTAAGTAAATTTTGTATT